TTTCCCTCCCTGAGGAAGGGGCAGGTTGATGCAAGGAAGGGTGAACCATTAGCAGCGGGGAGCTGCCCTGACAGCCCTGTGCTCTCCAAGCATCTCCTTGTCCCCATCTGCTTCAGGTCTGCAGGTCCCTGGGTACTCTCTTCCTGAATTTGTTCCCCATCTTTTTTCTTGCTTGAAGACATTCCTCAACCAGGTGGTCTGGGGAGAAAGGGGATTTAAGTGGAGAGAAAATGCTATTGCAGCCTGTAGAAGAGAGAGTCCGAGTCCTTGCACCTTTCCTCCTGCCCACATACAGTGGCTTCTTGCAGATTACAGTTTTAGTCCAAATCCTACAGCGAATTTAAAAAGCACAGGAGATCATAGCTGAGCTTGGGGCTGTGGACCCAGAAAGGAGCATGTTAAAGAGAGCAGCCGTGGTCTGTACATTAGTCATCTTGGAATGTGGTTTAATAGTTTTGCTGATCATTTTTCTTCTTTTGTTTTAGCAACCAAACTTCAAGCAGAAATTTGTGGCTTTGCTGAAGAGGTTTAAAGTGACAGAGGAGGTAAGAAGTGTGAAGGCTGCTCCACCTGGCAGTGTCTCCTGCAGATGCGTAGGTGTCAGAGTGCTGGTTCCTGCTCACTGGGAGCACGAGGCGTGAGCTGCGGGTGCTCAGGGGTGTTACCAAAGGTGCTACGAGACATGGCACAGGCGGGGCCTTGGCTTTTCCAAAGCCTTCTCCCTCAGAAAGGCAGCTCTGAGCCTCATGCTCAAATCAAAAACACCTTCCTGTTTGGGAGAGGGGCCAGGGGAAGATGGGTGCTGTCATACACTGGTTCTGCCCCGGGGGCTGCTGTTGCACGTGCAGTCCTGGTCATGACTGAAAGCAGGCTAAAATCATCAGCCTGGGGGTAGCTGGCCTTGGCTGGGAGCCTGCGCTGAATGTGCAGCACAGCCAGTGGAGGTCCTCCCAGGTGTCTTAACTCACTGTAAGTATGACGGGTGCTGAGACTCCTTCAGATGTCATGCTCATGGCACCCTCCTTTGGCCCAATGACAGTGTCACTTGTTTCTTCTGCAGCCTGGGTTTGGCTCCCTGAGGTGGGAACAGCGGCGTGGCATGCCTTGTGGCTGGCAGGGAGCTTGTACGTGCCTGGCCTGGGATGCATGTGACTCGCTATCTCTTCATTGCCCTCTGGCCTTGGTCCCACAGGTCCTGGATTCTGACCCTGTAGACCAAACCCAGGAGGTGGAGGAAGATCTGGGCTTGCTCTATGACAGCCTGGAAGAGTGCAACAACAGTGACAGCGGCCCAGAGATTGAGGACAACGAGAGTGTGCACAGCACACCCAAGCCCACCCTGAGGTAAGGGTTGCAGGGAGTCACAGGCTGGCAGCACAATCTATGGGACGTGGAGAAATGCCCTCTGACACTTGTCTGTTGCTTGGGCTAACGCAGACATTGTCTTGTCTCCGCTCCCATCACCATCTTCTATTGGCACCACTGAGGTCCTCACTTGCATATCCTGTTTAATAAACTCAAAACTGCCTGTTAAATCTGACTTCCTTCACATTTAGTCTCATTTCATTTCTTGCCAGTCCAGCATCTGACACTGATCTGCTGGAAGAGTACCCACTTGATCTAAGCCCCCACTGTTCCCAGCTCTCATACCTTTCTGCTGACAGTCTTGGGCTTCTCAAGGCTCTCCACACGGAAGCATGCCTGTCTTTTGAGCACTTTGTGGCTGCTTGGGCCAGTCCTTGTGTCCCTGTGAGATCTGCATGCTGTGTTCCCACCCTTTGTGGAGACGTGACTAGCAATCATCAGTGATGTTCCTCACCCCGTTCCCCAGGCACCCAGTGGCTTGGCTTGCTCTGCTGAGCGCTGTTGACTTGGCACAGAGGTCTCCAGTGCACCGTATGGTGAAACCAGGCTTTTCTCCCGTGTGATCTGCATTCACATGGCCTCTCTGCTCGTGGCTGTTCTGTTTCTGTGCTGTCCTCTTGTGAGAAAGTTGCCTTTTATTGTCTTTCCACTTGGCTGCCTCACAGTGCACTGGCTCTCTTCTAGTCAAGCCAAGCTTACTTGTCATTATTGTTTCTGTAGTTTGGTATTTAAATATAATTTGAATTAGTTTAAATCCCTGCTGAAGATGCTTAGCAGGAGTAGCAGACTTGATCTGCACAGGCAAACTGTTTGAAATGAAATCTGCTGGATTCAGGAGCCCATGGGGCACTGGGGAAGAAACAGGAACGTGACAGAAGTCATGTTTTCCACAAACCTGCCTGTCATTGTGAAGGAGACAGCAGGCACGTGGGCAAGGGGGAGCTGCTTAGGTGGGCTGCTGGGACTCCAAAGGAGTTTCACACGGTCTCTCATCAAAGGCTTTAAAGAAACAAAGGTGCTGTGGGAGAAAAAGGAAGGTCTTTTTGTGGTGAGATAACAGTTTATATATGTAAACTACGCAAAACTATGTAAACTGTAAGAAAAGTCTTGTTGAGAGTATTTAAATATAAGACCCCATGCTGGTTCTGCAAGCGCGTACTTGCAAATATCTGGTCACTGGGAGAGCATCCTAGAGTAAGTGTTGGGTTGTGCTTGTACCTTGTACAGTGTTTCTCGGGTGTTTGCTGCTGCCGGTGGAAGGACAGCCTGTCCTGGGCTGGTTTTCAGCCTCTTCACAGTGTCCCTAGCTTCGGGTGTTCTCTGGTGCCTCAGGTTCTGGCAGTGCTGGGGGCGTATCCCCTTGAATTCACATTGCTGGGTCTGTACTTTTTCTAAGGAGCCAGCTGCCGAGGTCTTTAGCGGAGGCGGCGTGGTTCTGAGGGCCTGCAGAAGCCTTCTCGGCTGGCGAGGACCTTCCAGCCCAGCCTGGAAATTCAAGATGTGATCCTCATGTTGGATTTATTTATTGTCATAAACAGCCTTGCTAGACACTGTGAAGGTCTTTGTTGAGCAGGGGCATTCAGGTAGTCCTTACGGGTGAGCAGTGGCCGCTGCCCCGGTTTTGGCCAGTGGTGCTGGGAGCAGATGGCCATCCTTTTGATAAGCCAAGGTGGCTGCGCAGCTGTGGGCTGCTCCTGCACTGAGGCCAAACTGGAGCTAGAACTGAGGCTGTTAGGTGAAACCTCAACAGTCAGAGCCTTGGATTGAAGATCAGAGGTGAAGGAACAAATGTCTCCATAGGTGACTGGGCAAGTGGATGGGGGAGAGGGGCTGATGAACTGAAAACAGAAGGAGGCTGTGTGGAAGGGCTGGGATTTACCTCCATCTCAACCTGCTGAGTCTCAGGCATAATCGTGCCTGTGGGAGAAAGCCTCTAAACTGCAGAACAGGGAAGGCCGAGAGTTGCAGAAGAGCTCTGTGCTCAGTGTGGCACATCCTCTGGGGGTGAAAGCTTCTGAATCGCAAGTGAGAGAGGGCAGAAACAGACACAGCTTCCACATGAAAGGGGGAGACAGCCCCATTTAAATGGGGTGTTGAAAACCAGGCCAAGTGTAGACAGTCTAGACACATCCAATATCTAAGAAAAAGGAGAGGATGAAGATACCTTTCTGAGGTGCCAGAGGCACCAGGGGTATGTCGAGTTCTGGTGGTTTACTGGGACAGAACAGTGCTGATTGGGGGGTGAATTACTAGAAAATGTACTTATTTATCTGGTTTGGCTCTTAAGTTATTAACATAGTCTGTATGGATTGAAATCGCTGGCTGAGAAAAGGCAAGTGTAGAGTAGTGACTGTACAGGGTGGTGACCTCCACTGGAGGGGTGGAGAGAGCAGAAAGATGTTAATAAGAGGAGACATAATTTATCCCTGTGTGACCTGGAGAAAATGTCCCACCAGGGCACAATGCTGACTCTAAACCTGTAGCTGTAGTAAATGAACATGTCGTGAAGCAGCTGTTCATGAAGCCAGTGAGAGGAAAATTGAGCCTTGACTTCTCCCAGCCAGTGCCTAAATGCTGCTACTGCAGAGCTGCCCTGTGGTGGGGACCATCGTTTACTGAGATGAAATGTCCTTGTAGGAGCAGTCAAAGCAAAGAACCTGACAAACACTGTTGTGCCTGGCAGCACGGTGTGCTGTATACAGGTGAGGAAACGTGTTAAAAAGAAAGTTAAAGGAGCAGCCAGGATGTTCAGAAGTTTGTAGGCGTCCTGCAGAAAGCTGCAGATGTATCCAGATGAAGACAACAGAAAACAATGGAAAAACCCTGGCAGAGTCCTAACAGAACTGCTTTGTATCCTATGCCTGTGTGGTCATCCCTGGAAACCTGGTATCCCCATTTGCACACCAGGCAAATCAGGAGACACTTTTCCTGGGAGTTAGTGAGCAAATACACACGTACAGCTTAGAGGGAAGCTGGCTCAGATCTCGCGCAGGAAAGCCACACATTGCAGACGGGTTGCAGTTGTTGCAAGGGTCCTGGAAAAGCTGACAGCTGAGATCCAGTGATAGAAGCTGCTTGTTTCCTAAAGACTGGTCTTTGATCAGCACACAGGAGGTGGAGGGGGTCCTTGGCAAATAAATAATGGGTGGAAAAAGGGGAAACTAAGGTGGAAGCTCACACTGTGGTGGCAGACACAGTCCTGCTGCCCCAAGAGTGTTCCTTTGCTGACTGTTGTGACTTGGGAACAGAAGCTTGGAGTTGTACTGTGCAGCTCTGCAAAAACATCACCTCAGAGACCTAACAAAAGGCAAATTCAGATGCTGGGGAACAAAGCAGGATATTGCCATGCTGCTGCATTACCTGCGGTGTGGTTCTGTGTGCAATACTGTGGTCTCCAGAGCCTTGGGAAAGGGGAAAGCAGAAAGAGAAGGTGGGAGCTGCTGCTGGAAGTGTGCAGCAGCAGTCAGAGGCAAGGAGCCCTCCCTGGAAAAGGGGGAGCAGAAGGGAAGGCAGCAGAAATCTGTGGAAGCCGTGGTGGTGAATGGGGGCAGAGCGGCTCAGGAGCACGTTGGAGTTGTGGTGTTGACAGAGACGATACCAGTGAGGTGTGGCAAGGGAGCAGTTCCTTACCCTGCACTGCAGTGCTAGGGGATCACCTGAGAGAGAAATCGCTGCCGGCTAGGAGACAGGAACCCTGCCTCCGTCTCACCGGGGTCACAGGTTTAGCCCTGTTGGTCAGGGGTGGCCCCGTCCTGTCCCTGCACCCAGTTTTGTCACGGCAGCCCGTGGTGTGTGGGGCTGCCAGTCTGCTGGCAGCTCTGCTCCTAGGCTGTGCGTTGCTCAGACACTGGGGCGTCTGGCCCTGTGTCCTGCTGAGGACCTCTCCACAGTGCTCTGTGCTTAGGACAGGCTGGCGGGGGTGTGCTGGGATCATGGTGACTTTGTTCCTTTCTTATTCCTGCCTTTTTCTCTCCCATCTGTCTGTCTGTCCGTCCGTCCGTCTGTCTGTTTCTCTGCAGGCGTTTCTTTGAGGGAGTCTCTCATTCTGGTTCCCAGACTGAGATCGGCAGTCTGCACAGCCAGAAAGGGCAGGATCAAGAGTCGGGCAGCCCTGTGAGTTACCACACCACAACATCTCGCCCCTTCTCTCCTGAGCCAGCCCAGCATCCCCGCAGTGCCTGCAGCTCCCTCTGAGAACATAGCTCCTGGCAGCACCTGCCTGGGGCTGCTCCTTCCCTTCTTGCCTCTTCTTTTTCCCAGCGCAGGCAGGCAGGTAGCAATGGGGGGCATCCTCTGGGGCCAGTCCCAGGGGGATGCCGGGCTCCCTGGGAGGATCGTGTGTTCTGTGAGGCCGGGCACGGGTCACTGGCAGACGCCCCACACTCCATCCTGCTCTGACCCCACTCCCTGTCCCCCAGGGCGAGGCAGACAAGTGGAAGCTGGGAGCACTGCGACCACAGGAAGAGCCAAGAGCGGAGGTCCCTGTAGTGGTGAGTCCAGGCTGCGGGACGTGGAGTGGGGCTGGAGCTCCCTCAGGCCTCACCTTGCTTGCTGGGATACCAGGGGTGGCATCAGCTGGGAACAGGGCTGGGGGGGATGAGTGGAT